AGGGGGGAAGCCATTCCAATGGGAAACAGGACAAAGACTTTCAAGCTAGGGGTGATTCTGGCTTCTCAGTTTGAAAGTGAGTTTTTCCCAAGCTTGGGGTGGCTGCTGGGGACAGGGGGCTCGCAGGAGTCGTGCTCCTCCCCCCACCCCCCACCCCATCCCGGCCACTCTGATACTGCATTTCTTCCTGGAGCACCCTGCCAGAATGCGCGGGAGCCCTTTCCTCCCGCTGGCCTGATACTCCGGGGCAGAACACACTCCCTGTTTTTTATATTGTTTTCCAGTAAAGGGAATGGTGCTGCAGTTGGCCAGTTGGCTTCTGAGCCGAATGTGGGGGCCTGGGGTGCTGACCACTGGCTACCATGGAGCCTGAGGACTGCTTGTGGGGTTTTGGTATCTGCACCGTATCCTTTCTTTTCAACCCCAGCGCTGGTAGGAAAAGGCCTCTCTCAGGGGTCTAGTGTGTGTCAGGCACTGGGGTCAGACCCTGGGACGTGTGTAGTTACCTTGTGTGACCTTCACCTTGGCCTTGTGACTCTGAAATTCCTGGCACCCTGGTTACAGATGACAGGTCTCAGGTCCAGCAGCTCTGCCACACAGCTCTTCCAGGGCCACACAGCTCGGAGGTGGCAGTCGGGTCAGCCTAGGAGCCCTGCATCTAGAGCTTCTCTCCCCTACCAGTCCCTGCCTGAGACTGAAGTTGGTCAACACACACTTACGGAGCTCCTGCTGTATGCTGAGCATTTGCAGAGTGCCTGCTGTATACCGAGCATTATTCGGGGGGAGAGGTAGAGAAGAGAAGGTCGCCAGTATCTTTAGTGACCTCAGTATATTCTGAGAGAAAACTGGCTTGAAAGGGAACATCTCGAGGAGGACACAGAAAGAATAATTCGAAGTAAGCAGCTCTTGTCACGTAGACCGGGAGAGCTCAGTGTGTGTTTACAGGCAACAGACGGGTCCCCTTGCTGAGGACTTGGTGAGCTGTGGCACGGCGAAAGCTGGGAGCACGTGGGGTCTTTGTTCAGACACATTTCCGTGCATCTTCTGTGCACGGGGCTCTGAGAGTAAGGAACTGATGGAGGGCCAGGCCCTGCCTCCCGCAGCCCCAGGTCTACCAGGTAATGGCGTCCCCATCAAGGGGGTGTCCTCAGACCTGGGTGCTGGCAAGCCCAGCACTGCTGCTACAGCCCAGGGCAGTGGGGTCATGACTGCAAACACCCGCTTTCTAATCCCGCCTGCCTCTGTCCCCCCAGATCTCCGGATGGACCCAAGCCCTTCCAGACATGGTGATATCCCACTTCTTCGGAAAGGTGAGCAGCATGGCCTGGCCTTCTGTTTTTGACATCGAGCAGTCGTGTGCCGCCTGGCACGTAGGGCTCAGAGGCGAACCAGATGTGGCAAGGGGGTGTGCCATTTGACCCTCCCCAAATCCTGCGTCATCATTCATCCACGATTGTCAAGTCATTCCTTCTCTCTCCCTCTCCCTGTAGTAGAGGTCTCTTTTAACAGCTTTGTTGATGCACGATACACTGCACATAGTGAAAGTAGAAAATCTGATACATTTTGACATACGTGGACACCAATAACCCAGATAATGAACAGCATACCATCATCCCCAGGTCTTCCCCTGTGCTGCCGGGCAAGCCTTCTCTCCCTCCTCTGCCTTCAGTCACTGTTGATTCGTTGGTGTTTACGTAAACAGCATCATACAGTATGTGCTGGGGTTTTTTTAAATCTGGTTTCTTTCATTCAGATAATTATTCTGTGATCTTTGTTATGGGTGTATGAGGAGTTCATCCCTTTTTAGTGCTGAGTGGTGTTCTGTGGGATGGAGGTGCCACAGTTCACCTCTACATTCACCTGTGGATGGACACTTGGATTATTTCCAGTTCTGCGCTCTGACAAATCACACCTACGGCAAACATATCCACGGAGTTTGCTGTGTGTCAGGCTTGGTCCTAAGAACTCTATGAGCCATGTGAGAAATAGTTTTTATTCGAAGTTGTGGCTAAGGAGACTGAGGCCAGAGAGGTTGAGGGACCAGTGTGAGTCTCACAGCCAGGGAGAGAAGGCTGGGATTGGAACCTCTGAGTCTGGTTCCGTTGTGGTTCCTGTAAGTTATGCAGGATGCTGGCCATCTGTGCTCCTGCCGGTGCCTGGCTCTCAGATGGATTGTCCCGCAGGTGCCCCGCCGAGGACGGGCTAAGCCAAGCCCTGTGCAGCATGCAAGTGGTGTGTGGCCCCACCCTAGCAGCCGGCCAGCGTGGCCCCTCGCCCTGGCTTTGCACCTCCTGCTGGGCTTTAGGATGTGCTGGGAGCTCTCCTGCAAATCCAGGGTCTGAAGTACCCCTCAGCTGCCCAGCTCGAAGTGTCTTGCTCTGTTTACTCTGTGTAGTCCACACACCACGGTTTGCTCCTGAGCAGAAGAGTGGGGCCATCTGACATGTGATCGTATGATACCCAGGGAAACAGATGTTCCGCTGGAGTTGATGAACTGTGCCCACCATATTTGGTCTCTGTATTAGTTTCCTGTGGATGCTGTAACAGAGCAAGGCCAGCTGGGTGGCTTAAAACAACAGAAATATGTTCTTTCCCAGGTCTGAAATCATGTGCTGGCTGGGCCACACTCCCCCCAGCAGCTCTAGGGGAGGGTCCTCCTTCCTTGCTTCTTCCGACTTCTGGTAGCTGCGGCGCCCCTTGGCTTGTCCCACTCACGCCCATCACTGCCTCCATCTTTGTTTCAAATCTCTTTCTGCCTGTCTCTTACAAGGACACTTGTTGGGTTTAGGATTCACCAGGATGATTCAGGATGACCTCATCTCTGGATTCTAAATTACGTCTGCAAAGACCTTTTTTCCAAATAAGTAAACACTTGAGGGGTCCAAGAATTTGATGTGGGTGTATCTTTTAGGGCGGCCTTGGGCCTTTCAGCCCGCTAGTCCTCCTTCCTTTCGTATGCTTCGTTTCACAGTCTGCAGTGTATTTTCTCCACTCTGAGTGTCTAATCTGAACCTGATAGGAATATGGGAAAGATCAGAACCGATGTCTGTCTGTATTTTCTTGGAAGAGGGGTGTCAGGCACAGGGTGAGTCTGGCCTGATTGTACCCCACATTACTCAGGGTATCTGTTGGTGCCTCTCAGTTTCTGCGATTGTGTTTCAGTGATCTGTAACCCCAGCATGATTCCTCGGACTGTTTTTTTCCTGATTTTTTTTTTTTGAATAGCCGTTTGGTCTCTGTTGCTTCAAGGATCGTGGACTCTTTTGACACAGCTCGGAGCTGACCCTGGGCCCCCTTAGCTCCCTCCCACTCCTGCTCTTCTTGGCCTGGATCACATCAGGCCATTCTGTGAAACCTACAGCCTCTGACGTTGCACAAATGAGAAACAGAGCACCCCAATAACTTGTCTGTGTCCCAAATCACATTCTGGAAAGAGCCAGCGAGAGGGAAGGCTGAGGCTGGACTTCTGCATGGGTCTCGTTGGCCCTCATGGGATTCAAGATCGTCCTTTTTTCTAGAAATTTCCCGTTGCATGAATTGGTTTTGTTTTTCAAACATGGACTTCTTTTCAACTCTTCCCATTAAAAACATAATAACTGCTAGCAGTTGCATCAATTTTTTACGGTTTACAGTGGGCTTTCCAGAGTGCTCAAACGCTATTAAATCCCACCGTTGGTGAGGTGGGTAATATCATCCACAGTCTTTTTTTTTTTAAGGGAACAGAGGCTCAGGGAGGTGAAGTGCTTGCCCAGTAAAGGGGCAGTGATGGAGCCAAGCTCCCGATCTGACTGACCTCACATTAAGATGCCTGAAGTCTGAGCCCAGCAGGGCGGGCTTGTCTCTCCAGGTCTGCATTCCTTCTGCTCCTGGCTGATACCCAGACATCAGTCTGCGCCTGGGCAGCGGTTTCCGCTTTCCCAGAGGTGCCCTTAGGCTCCATCGCAGGCTCGTGGAGAAGACATTAGTCTGTTGTCTCTGTACCTGAATCACCTGAAGAATGGCGAGGGTAGAGACTGGCCCGGGGACACAGTCCCCACAATGACCTTTCCCCCTCTCTCCATGCAGGAGGAGATGCAGAATAACGTGGAGGTGGTCCACACCTACCGCCAGCACATCGTGAACGACATGAACCCCGGCAACCTGCACCTGTTCATCAACGCCTACAACAGGTACCGGGACGCTGCGGGGCCACGCGGGGGCCACGCGTCCGGCTCCTTCTGTAGGCCTGAAACGAACATGGGGCAAGAGAGGGGGGATTACAAAATTAGTAGAAAATGCAGCCCCTGAGGAAATAGATGACCAGAACAGGAGTGCCCGGTAAGGACCCCAGGGAAGTAAGTTGCCTCCCAGAATTTTGCAAGGAGCTGAACTTCCACTCCAGCCCACCAGGGGCGCAGGCATGAGTGGGACACAGTCACACCTCAGAGGGTTTCCAGGAAATGCCTGTGCTGTGGCTGACTCTCAGGAGAGGCCAGATGCGAGGAAAGCTGAGAGGGAGAGCTGCAGGGCTCTGGGGGAGGGCAGGGGGAATCCAGGGAGGCTATTGGGAGGCGAGGGAGTCATTCCAAGGATGAGGACCTGGAGTGCCCAGTGAACTCCGCCCGCTGTGCTCCCACAGAGGACAGGGAGGAGCCTCCTGGGCTCTGTCTCCTCACATGTTAATCACCTGACTTCATGAAGGGCGCTGGAGTCTGTTTCCTCTTCCTCTCCTCCCCGCCTCTCAGTGCGGGAGGGACTGGTGACATCCACAGGGCGTAACTGAAGACGGATGCTGAGCTGTTCACTTATTCAGCCAGCACTAAATGAGAACTGGAGTGGGTGGGCTTTCGTCCCGGCAGTGGGCACCCAGAGGAGACCAGCAGCATCCCCCACAGCCCGACATACTGCAGGAATGAACTGATTCCTCTCAAACACCCTATGACGAGGGTGCTGTCACCATTGTTTCCTGCTGAGGAAGCAAAGGCACAGAGAGGTTCAGCATTCTGCCCAAGGTCACACAGCTAGGGAGCAGAGGAGGGTGATCTGAATCCAGCTGGTCTGGCTCCAGGCTGTGAGCCGGGAAAGGGTATCTCAGGATGAGAGCTGCCAGGCAGTGAGAGGCTGGGGTACATCTCCAGGCAAGAGTGATGGGGCCACACTGGGCCTTACAGGACAGTGGGGAACTGTAGGAGGATTTAAAATGAGGAAGTGAAAGGATCTGGTCTGAGTTCTAAAAAGATGGTCTTGGTTACTACATAGAGGACTCAGAGTTGGAGGCGAGAGTGAGACTGAGACTAAGAGTAGAGGCTGGAGACCATGTGGGAGGTGGTGACAACGGGACGGGGGGTACGGATCCTCTGTAGATGAAGGTGTGATTTCTACTCCAATAAAAAGAAACACACACACACACACACACTTTGGGGACAATGAAGCGGCTCCACCGGAAGTGCGTGAGTCCTGCTCTCCCTGAAACCACTTGTATGGACTCTAAGAGGTTGGATGTGGTGTTTGCCAGAACGGCCAATGGCAGGACCTCCTGGGATTGGCTCAGTGGGAGGGGGCTTCCTCCCGGGGAGGCTCCGCTGATGCATTTGTTTGTCACTTGTCCGTAGCCGGCGGGACCTGGAGATTGAGCGGCCGATGCCCGGAGCCCACACAGTCACCCTGCAGTGAGTGCTCTTCCTTCCCTCCCGCCCTGTCCCTTTAGCCTGGCTCACAGATGCCGGCAGCACCTTGGCTCTGGGTTTGGCAGGACTGCCCCCCTTGCCCTAGGACAGCGCAGTCAGTGAGAACTGGATGGATTCTGCCTAGGTATTGGGCACAGCCTCGTTCATCTCCTCATATAGGAGTTTGGTTTGTAGGGTGCCCCCAGGATCCAGAGGGGAGACTTGGATCTCAGACAAGGAATGCTAACCACATGAAACAGAATTCATGAAGCACCTACTCTATGGCTTTGCTTCATTGAACTTGGAGATGAGTAAGACACAGGACCCACCGTAAAGCGCTATAGAAAGCTAGAAGGAAAAGACAGTCAGGGATACATCAACTGGATTTTTTTTTTTTGTTCCTTAATTGAACTATAATGTTTGACACCTGATCTTGGCACATGCCACATCCTTTGTCAGGCATGTCCTTTTTGTCTCTGATCTTGATTGCTGGTGAAGTCCTACTCATCCTTCTTTGAGGAGAGAGTTCTTAAAATAAAACACCAGGGAGCAGAAATTCTCTGGCCAAAATTCATACTAAGGTGTAAATGACTACTTAAGCCATTTTATCCTAAGAACATAGCAGAGGAAAGAGAAAGAAGGAAGTAAAAAAAAGCAAATGGTATTGGGGAAAACAAAATAAATTTTTTTTAGCGTTCTGATCCCAGCCTGGCAGGCCCAGGAGTGTGAGAATCTTTCAGTGAACATTGCGTTAACTCCCTCTTCTCTCCCTGCCCCCAGGTGTCCTGCTTTGTTGGTGGTTGGGGACAGTTCTCCTGCTGTGGATGCTGTGGTATGTAGAAATCACCCACTGGCTTCTGGGCTAAATGCAACAGTCCAAATCTTGCTGACTTTGTAGGAAGTCTCCCTGTTCACCCTGCTTCCCAACTCTGCTCTCATCAGGACAGGTGACATCTTCTCAATGCCATATTAGCCTTTGGGCAGAGTCCCCAGCTGCCAGCTTCTTTCCCTGGTGACTGCCAGCCCTAGTTGCTTGGCAGTGGACCCTTTATCTCCTCTCCCAGGCCCCCTCACCTGCCTATCTGCCTCCCATTGGCTTGTTTATATGGGCGTGTTGCCACTTGACTTCCTGGCCAGGAGACCATTTGGGAATCAGGTGGAGCTTTCAGACCTGCTTGGTGCCTGATCATCTGGCAGGGCAGAGAGGCACCTGGGGAGCAGGGCTTAGGAAAGACTTTCTGGCTCATTTCACCCCTTAATTCCCACCTGTGATATTGTGGAGGCAAAACAAGGCCTCCATCTTTCCAGTATTGCCATAGCTGGGGACATGGGAGACTTGGGGGCTGTTGAGCAGAGTCCTAGAGTGGTGACATGTCTTGTGCAGTGGGCTAGAGCAGGGTCTGCAAAAGTTCATTTAGTAAAGACCTGGAGTGTCTTAATAAAACATGAATTTCTTGTAATCTAACCCACTGGACACAATCATAGGATGCATCAATAAAGATATATTGTTCACATTAGGGGAGGTGACAGTTCTACTGTAGGCATGTTGAACATCACAGGTTATATATGGGTATTTTTCTCACTTCTGGATGTACTTTTAAGAGGGCCATTGACAAACTGAAGATAGAAACCATCTTGGTGGATGTGATTTCATATGAAGAATAACTGTTGGGACTGAGGATGTTGAATCCATAAAATCACTGGCAGCAGCTGGTTAAACAAGGCCATTCATTTAGCAACTATTTCTGGAGCATCTTTTACATTTTAGCTAATCTTCATCACCACACTTTGCAAAAGAGATTATCCCTATTTCATTAATGAGGAAATCAAGGCTCAAAAAGTTAAGTAACTAGTCCAAGGTCACCCAGCTAGTAATGGCGGGGCTGGAATTTAAAGCCACATATATTTGATCGCAAAGCCTACATTCTTTCTTCTGTGCCCATAGGAACACTGGAGTTTCCGATGATAGTGGCAGGTGTGGGGAAAGGTTATGACTTTGGCACCAGGTAGAAAATAAGCGAATTTCTTCTCGTTCTCCTTGTCCAGGTGGAGTGCAACTCTAAGCTGGACCCGACGAAGACCACTCTCCTCAAGGTACAGGGAAATTGATGGGGATTTGCATTTGTGCTTAGAAACCCTTGAGTTTTCTGCTAACTTGCATTGTGCCTGATTGAGGTGAAGCTGGTGGTCAGAAACCACAGACATGATTATTTAACGTATCTGTTCACAAACATCTATTGAGTGCTCGCTGACTGATAATCTAAGGCTATAAAGATGAGGGGATCCCTCTTCTGGGACCCCAGGAGTTTACGGGCTGCTGGCTACAGCGCTCTGAAGAGAGATGGACAGGTATCGTGTGGGCGGGGCCTGATTCTAAACAGACTCTCCCCCCTGCACCCCCAGCCCTGCTGAATGGGCCCCCGGAGTTCAATTCCAGTATCTTTTCTCTGCATTCTCATGGAGCTGAGGACTGCCCCAGGTTAGCTGACCTTGAGGCTGGCCTCTGGGATTTAGTCTTGAGGCTGGGCTGTAGGATGGCCACAGCCTCACCCACCCTCACCAAGACCTCCCAGTTCTTTTTCTTCATCCTCACCCCATCCACACCCTGCTGCCCAAGTGCTCCAGGGCCCTGGGCTTTGATATTCACACCTGCCTGGAATGGCTTTAAGCAGTAATGGCTTTGGGTTTGGTGATTTAGTAGGAACTTTGGAAGTTGCAGCATTTACCAAGGGTGGCCAACCAGGAGCCCCATCAGACCAGTAGCCTTGAATCTAGCAGTTTCCTTCTGAGAGGTCTTTGAACAGATGGTGTATACAGGGCCTCATACAGTGAATGTTCTCTGGCCAGAGAGACCCTGGACAGAACTTCGCAAATTCCTCAAGTTCTCCCTGGCCCAGTTTCTGCCTCTAAAATAAGAACCTTCTAGCATTCTTGGGGAATGGATTGAAAGCATCTACAGGGCCTATCACAGCGCCTGGTCTATCATAAGCTGCAAGTATCAGTTGCCAAGAAGACTGAGTTCAATGCCAAGACAGACAGTAATCAGAGCGGCCTTGCTAGATGGGGTGGGCGTTTCCCTGCCTGTAATATGGCCACGCCCCCTCAACAGGGCCTGGCCAGGGCAGGGCAGTGGGCAGAGTGGATGCCCATGGGGAGCTGGTCCATGGAGCTGGGATCTCCCCGCCAAGGCATTTGACGTTAACCACCTTTTCTCTCTCCCAGATGGCAGATTGCGGTGGCCTCCCACAGATCTCTCAGGTGAGTCACACCTGTCCCCACTCCCCAGGTGGAGGGCCCGGGCCTCTGGGGCCTGTGACCCCTTTTCCTTCACTGCCTGCTCACCCCCCACTTCACTGTGACATTTGATGGCACTTTGTGGACCTGTTACTCAGACTGGCCCTGTAACTTGGGCAAGCTCCCCCAGCTATGAAATGAATTTGAACCTTTTCTTCCTGGCCAAAGCTAATTTTGGTCTCCAGAATTATCCCATAGTCTTTCCTTTACTTTTTTGCTTGCTCCTATCAACCCGTGATGGCTTTCTGTCTTGGGCCAAGCTCTTTAATGAAGGTGACCTGGGGCACAGCTCCACATGGCCACGCGTGGTCTGGACCTGCAGTGACTGACTGCATGTTCCCTTTTCTCTCCTGCAGCCAGCCAAGCTTGCTGAGGCCTTCAAGTACTTCGTGCAGGGCATGGGCTACAGTGAGTACGACCTTTCCCAGCAGGTGGCGGGTCGAGGGGCAGATGTGGGGATTGGAACCAGGTTGGGATGAGTATTCTGTCTCACCTTGGCCAGCTTCAGCTTTTTGCAAATTGAGCAGGTCAGGGAAGAAGGATTTAGGTGCATGGAGGGTGGGCAGCAGTGCAGAGGTTCCGGTATCTCCTCACAGCATAGTGGCTCCTTCTCCCTCCGTGGCTGAGTAGAAGCTGTTTCACACCAGGGAATTGTTGTAAGGTTTAGGTGAGGACTGTCCTTTTAAACACCAAGAAGGCAACAAACAGTGAAACCATGAAAATCTTTTTGATTTTGATTACATGCTTTCTAAGAGATTTCCCCTTGTAGTGGTGATGACGGTGGTGGTGGTGGTGATGGCGGTGATGATGGTGGTGGTGGTGAAAGATTAATAAATCCTTTGTGTTTTTCTCATTTAATCTTCACAATAATCCTATGAGAGACTCTTAACCTCATTTTACAAATGAAACTGAAACTTTGAGATATTAAGCAAGGAGCAGAGTGGGGATGTGTGAAAGTTCTTTGGAAACTGTGAAGCTCTGAGTAGGTGGGTGGTAAAGTCGCTTTATATTTAAGACAGGGCATGTCTTTGCTAAATCATTAGACTGGGAATTGGAAGATAAAAAGAAGCACTATTAGAGAACTTGAAGCCTCTTCCGTTACGGTGATAGTTTATTTATAGACCAATACAGCCCTTTTCAGAGCTGCAGTCCCATGACCAGGACAGACAACACCCAGTTTAAGCGCCCTGTTGGGCGGCAGCCGCCGCTGCTACACGGTGGTGTCGGCCACGGTTCTGGCCCTGATGTGGTTCCTTTGGCTCTTTCTGCCTGCTGCCTGGAGTTATAATTCATGTGCCCATCTTAAGTAGGAAGTCTGAACACCTAACCATTTCCATTTTTGTTTTCTCTGAGACTTCCAAGTGTTTGCTCGTTTAAAATAGTCATGTTATGTTTAGTAAACTGACCGCAGTCTTAAGATTGGCCTCAGGCGTTAGACTTCTAGTGCGGCTGAGAGCCTGCAAGCCTGATTTACATGCTTCGGGCAAGATCCGTGTCCCAAACTGCCCTCTTCCAACAGGAAACCTCTGCCTGTGGGGCTCCTGCCTTTCAAGCCTCTTTCTCTCTGGGGAAGTGTGTGGGCGAAGGTGGTAACCGGAGAAAGCCATCGTTCACCTGGCAGGCATGAATTGTGACTCGTTTGTCTTGGACCTGCCCTGGGCTTGGATTTCTGCTTTGAAAGTGCCTTCTGGGGAGAAAGGAGGTGGAAGGCAGGCCTTGTATTTTTCCCCCCATCAGCTTCTGTTTCAGAAAGCCGAAGTGTCCTGCAGGTTGTAGGAAAGACAACAGGCAGAGCTGTTGTTCCACAGGCATCAACCAAAGACAAGGAGAGTGGCCATTTACTGAGTGCCTGCTCCCCGTGGTGGGCCAGCCCTTAGCATCCGCGACAGCATGCTGTAGTCACCCTGCAAGGTCAGTTAGACCCCAGATCGGGGCTCAAGAAATAGGGGCTCAGAAAAAATACCTGAGCAACAGAGGTGGACTCTATTCTGATTTTTTCTAGATCCAATAACTAGATCTTTAAGAAAGGGAGTCCATACGGCAAGAATTAATTCTGTTTGTGGGTGTCTGCTGCAGAAAGCCGACACATATGCTCACTGAGCAAATAGTGTAACGCTTCCATGTAGCTGCCTCAGTGCGTAACGTCCGTTTTTCAACATGGCGTTGGCAGTGATGCTTCACCTGGGTGGTGCAGTAGTTTCCTGTGGCCGCCGTAACAAATCCCCACCAACTGAGTGGCTTAAAACAGCGGAAATGTATTCTCTCACAGAGCTACGGTTCTCAAGGCTAAATCAAGGTGAAGGCAGGGGCATACACCTCTGGAGGTTCTAGAAAAATCCTTCCTTGCCTCACCCCAGCTTCTGTGGTTGCCAACAGCCCTTGGCGTTCCTTGGCTTGTAGCTGAGTCACTCTGGTCTCTGTCCTGTCTTCACCTGGCTTCTCCTGGGCGTGTCTGTCTCCTCTTCTTATGAGGAAACCAGCCATTGCATTGGTGCCCACCCTAACCCAGGATGACCTCTTCTTAACTAAATAGGTCAGCAAAAACCCTGTTTCCAAATAAGGTTACAGTCTGTGGTTCCAGTGGACATGAGTTTGGGGGGGAGGGTGGAGATGCTATTCAACCAAGGACAGGTGGGGGTATTTTTCTTTTTATTCCACCTGCTGTGTTCAAGGGCATTTGAAGTCCTTTGGACTGGACAGTGCCATGGAGCACTCCTGGGAGCTCACAGGCTTCTCAAGGGAAGAGGTGACAGCTGACACTTCTGTGTGGCTGGGGTTTCCGGCCTGTGATCTGCAGGGATTAGCCTGGCTGACCCTCAACATCCTCCATGCTCTAGGACTGCTGACCGTACAGGGTGGTGGGCACACATTCGGGTGCTGATACCAGGGGGTCAGTGTTAGGATTCTCATTTTACAAGTGGGGCCAGAGGGACACTCCCAAAGTCACACAGCTATTAAGCAAGTAACAGAGCTGGGATTCAGACCCAGCTGTGGGTTCCAGCCGCTGTGGGGTTGCAGGAAGTCCTTACCCCATCTGCACCTCGCTCTCCACCTCTGGGAGCAGATACAGAAGCGATGGGGAGCCCGACAGCTGGGTCACCACGAGGATGGACAGGAACAAATGTGCCCGGCCAGGTCGGGCATGCAGCAGTCACCATTGCCGGCGTGCAGGTGCCTCCAGTGTTCTCCCGTCCCTCACCGGGCTCTCTCTCCTCTCCCCAGTGCCCTCGGCCAGCATGACCCGCCTGATGAGGTCCCGTACGGCCTCAGGCTCCAGCGTCACATCCCTGGAGGGCGCCCGCAGCCGCTCCCACACCAGCGAGGGCACCCGCAGCCGCTCCCACACCAGCGAGGGCACCCGCCTGGACATCATCCCCAACTCGGGCGGCACTGGGAACAGCGCCGGGCCCAACTCCACAGAAGTGTCCTGCTAGGCGGCCTGCGCTGCGGGGATGGCCGCCCCCTGGACTCTGGGATCAGTTGCTGTAGCTGTCCCTCCTCCGGCCCCTCCCCACCCCTGCCTGCCGACCGCACGTAACTCGGTATTAATCCAAAGCTTATTTTGGACAAGTGAGCTCTGGTGACAACAAAGTTAGATTGGGTTTGTGGAGGGCACCCTTTTGGCCGAGGGAGGGGTGGGCTGGACCAGAGGGAAAGAAGCATCTCATTGTTCTGTTTCCACTAACGAGGGGCCTAGTGGCCAGTCTCTTACCTTCCCTCCGAGACGCCAAACTGCCAAAAACAAGAAATGCAGCAGTAAACACTTCGTAAATCCAAGCTTAGACTGACCTGAGCATCCTGGTCTAAGGGACATTTGATTGGAAGCCCAGCCCACCTACTTCCTGTCTCCTCTCCAAGGAAAGATGAAACAGACTCAGTTTCTGGAAACCAAACCCTTTTCTGATTTGGGGAGGGGGAGAGCAGCGAACTGCTCATTTAACCAGGCCAAACAGGAAGTGGGGGAGTGAGGTGGGATTTGTGCGGAGGCCCGGGAGAGTTTGGAAAAGCAAACCTACGTAGTTCGCTTGAAGAAATAGATTTTTAACATTTGTGCATATATACATTTTTTATTGTTGAAACCTACAAGCCTGTTTTTCTGGCTTTTTTTTTAAGGACAATAAAAGCAGGCAACCACATCTCCCAGTTTTTCAAAGAAATGGTCTTGGCAGACATTTGGCATCGTGGGTTTAAGGCGTGGGCTCTGCTGCCTGCCTGCCTCCTCCACGGCCCCTACATCCCACCCCCAAAACATGAATGAGTGATTCTTTCATTCATGGGGAAGATCACTGAGATTCGCAGTTGCTTTCCTTGACGTGGAGGGAAAGATTGCAAACAGCTTTGCCTGGCGGGGATGCAGCTCTGTGCAGTGGGGGCAGGGGCATCGGGGTGGGTGGCGTTTTGGTGATTAGATGTAAAGGATTCCTTGTGGTTGTGATGGAATCCAAAGCAGTCGTGATTTCGCTTGATCCCATCTGGTTCCCAGGAATCATGTCCACTTGAGTTAAATCCAGCTTCCAATCTTTGGCAAGCGGGGTTGAGTCTGAACTTGACGGCCAAACGTTTCTGACTTAGTGATCTTCCCGGATCTTCAGATAGAACTGTTTGCTCTTGGTGGGGTGGGGATTCGCATGGGGAGCAGTGGCCCGGAAGATGTAAAGACTCTGGGATGTGGAGTCCATGGGATTTCCTTCCCTCTCCTGCCTTCCCCTCTTCCTGGCCCCTCTAACCTTCCGCTGGATGGGGTGGCACCACTGACATTTCTGGGCAACATCAGCGTTGCTGTCAAGTTCCTGTACTACTCTGCCTTTTGATTTTCATTTTGGCTAACCATGGATCTCCTTATAGGAAGTTTGAGTTGAGAGAATGGAACATTGTGAATCAGCCGCTGGGGTCTAGTGGTCACTGGGAGGATGTAGTCAAGCCTTCTAGGTACCTCGAGGGGTCTTGACTCAGTTTACCTGCCACCTACCACCTGGGAGACAGGAGTGACTGAATCAGAGCAAGAATCCGTTGTGTACAAGTCTTTCCAGAGGAGTTTCTTAATAAGATATTTGTATTTATTTCCAGACCAATAAATTTGTAACTTTGCAGTGGCTTGTGTCTTCTTCCTCTACCTGAGAGATGGTCCACTGGGATGGGTCCTACCTTGCCGGGGGGCCTCCTGCCACAAGCCCCTCACCTTTGGAATTCTTTGCTTTAGAGCATCGCTGTCCGACAAAAATGTACTGCGAACCACAGATGCAGCTCTCAGTTTTGAAGTAGCCACATCAATAAAGGTGGAAAGAAACATGTGGGACTAATTTTCATCATACATTTAACCCAGCATATCCAAAATATTACCATTTCAACATAGAATCAGTATGATAATTATTGTTATTTTGCATTCTTTTCATCTTCCTACTAAAAAATCCAGTGCGTATTTCACATCACAGCGCATCTCAATTCAGACCAGTCCCGTTTCAAGTGCTCGGTAGCTGAATAATACAGTGACAAAGGGACAAGGCTTTTCAGCCCATAATTTAGAAGAAAATATCTTTTTTTGTATTTTATTTCCATTATAGAAAATCATGTGGAAAGTCCACCGGTTGACAACCACAGCCATGCTTTCTGCTTTTGTACTTAAAAAAAAAATGTAAACACAATAGGTTTCAGTATAACTTCCTGTCTTTCTTTAAGATTAGTTTAAAATTTACAAAACAATAGCAAAGACAGTACAGAGAGTTTCCGTATACCTTACGCCTGGTTTCCCCTATTATTACTGGCATCGTATTTCTGTGGCACATTGGTCACAACTAAGAAATCAACATTGCTGCATTACCATTGACTAAGCTCCATACTTTCTTGGGATTTCACTGGTTTTTCCCCGTTGTCCTTTTTCTGCCCCAGGATCCCATCCACGTACCGTGTTATATTTGGTCTCCTGGCTCCTTAGCTTCCTATGGTCTAGAACAGTTTCTCAGACGTTCCTTGCTCTTGGCAACCTTGGCAAGTTTGAGAAGCCCTGGGGAGGCGTTTTGTAGAATGGCCCTCCTCTGAGGTTTGTGTGGATGCTTTTCTCATGGTTCGATTGGGGTTCTGAGTTTTGGGCATGAAGACCACAGAGGCTCAGTGTCATTCTCACTGCCTTGTGCTATCAGCGTGATGGGTCGACATGGTTTATTAAGGACGCGGTTGACCTTGAGCCCCTGGCTGAGGTAGTGTTTGTCAGGTGTCTCCAATGTCAAGTTACTTTTTCTGCTTTTCCAGGCTCCTTCTGAAGCAAGTCGCTGACTGCAGCCCACACTTAAGACCCGCCACCTAGCTATCACACCGTTTCATTTGTTTGGTTTTCTTTTGCTTACCTTGAGGAGTTTGTTAGAGTGTGTGACTGGCTGTAAAGACTTCTGCAGTCTGCATCACCATGCCGCAAGGGAGCGAGGGGATTTGCAAGCTCACTGGCCCTGATGTCTGAGGGAGAGGTTTGGGATACGGAGGAGGAGCTGACGGCAGGGAAAGGTGAGCGGGGTGATCAAGTGTGCCTCACACAGCAGGAAGGGAGGCGGGAAGAGTGTTAAATGCATAAAATACAACACATAATACTGCAGAAGAGATCATTTACAGTAATTATCCAAATGGTAAACTGTGTGACATAGCACGCGCTTCTTCACTCATACGTTAAACAGTAGTGCAGGGGCAGGTTTCAGTGTGGCTTCAAGGTAGCGCTGAGCATGACAGCGTAACAGCGTCTCAAGGTAACTGCCACAACGGTGATAAGAAAACTACACGTGACGCCAGCTGGTGAGATTAGGGTTTGTGGCCCATGTTTAGATAGGAGGAGATGCTCAGCTGCAATTAGAGGTTAGTAAGAACAAAGATGCATGCCCTCGCCACATCCAAGCACACGGCCCCTGCGTTAACCCATGGATCTCTGGTCCCAAGGACCCCAGGTTAAGGAGCCCTGCTTTAGATGCAGGAGGAGAAGTATGCAGGCTCATCCTTATTTCTACATTCACAGTAAGTGCCTTTCTGTGTCGGGATCTGTGTGAGGGTCTGAAACAAAGGAAAGGCAGGCACAGAAGGGCCAGCAAGTAATCATCCTAGCTGTGGGTGTATACGTGGCACAGAGACCCCCCGGATCTGCTGCAGTGGGCTCCGTGGAGCTCAGGCTTCCACTGAGGGCGATGAACTGCTGCAGGTGTTTGCACGGATGGGATGCTATTTAGAGAAGCCATGCCCAGAGGCTGTTGTGCCAGCTGGGGATCTATTTCTGTTCTCCTAGCTGCTTGTTTTGGTTTCGATCCCCGAACCCTTGGGTTTTAGCGGCAGCTGAGAGACCAAGTGTGCACCAGCATCAGCCATGTGCAAGCGATGCAGGAACAAGTAAGACCCCCATCTGCCACCTTCCTCATTCCCTTTCTCAGACACAATCTCACTGTTGGTCATTCATTGGCCCCTGCATGTGGCCTAAATCCATCTTCGGCTTCTCAGGCTGCAAGGAAACCCTTCAACTGTGTCCCAAATGGAATTCAAGGGCAAAAGGGGAAGCTTGGCCTAATGGGATTGGAGATGAGATTAGGGAGGAAACCTAGGGAGCAGATCAGCCTCCTTCTTTCTAAGATCAGATTTCCCCGCTTCTCTGAAGCACAAGTTGGTGGTCCTGACCTAAAGGCTACTTATCCTTCTGGTTCTTGGATCTGGAACCACTCAGGTCTTGTGTCTCTAAAGGGGAAGAATTGCATTGGCTCAGCTTGATTCAGGGGTCCGTTTGCTGTCCAATCAACTGTGACAGGGTTCATACTACTCCCGCCCCCTCCCCCACGTACACATGGCTCCTGGTAATTGATGTAGTTGTAGCAAGTGAATTTCTATGTCCTTTGCAGTTAAATCCATTGGCAGCCAAACTATTGCAGGAAAGGCCCTTCCTCATCTCCGCCCTGAGGAATGTTTTCTGAATGCCCAGCCTTCCCCAGGAAGCACTGACTGTGTGACCTCATGACAGGGGCACTCTGCAGAGATGGACTAATAGTACTATTTAGCATACATTATAGTTTCTTTTCCCTTTTTATCTTTACCTGTGAGGATGCATTATCCTTGCTCCATAGATGAGGAAGCCAAGTCTTGCAGAGAAGAAATGGTTTGTGCAGCCATTTCTAAAATGGATCACATCCCTGCTGCCTTTTGTAACACATGGCTGAATCATTAAAAATCCATAAACGATAAATGCGGGAGAGGGTGTGGAGAGAAGAGAACCCTCCTACACTGTTGGTGGGAATGTAGTTCGGTGCAGCTACTATGGAGGACAGTATGGAGATTCCTTAAAAAAGTTAAAAATAGACTTACACTATGATCCAACAATCCCACACCTGGGCCTACATCCAGAGGAAACTCTGATTCGAAAAGATACATGCATCCCAGTGTTCACAGCAGCACTGTTTACAGTAGCCAAGACATGGAAACAACCTAAATGTCCATCAACAGATTATTGGATGAAGATGTGGTGTGTGTATAAACACACACACACACACAAACACACAGACACACAATGGATTTCTACTCAGCCATAAAAAAAGAATAAAATGCCATTTGCACAACATGAATGGGCCTGGAGATCGTCATTCTAAGTGAAGTGAGCCAGAAAGGAAAGAAAAATACCATATATCACTTATAAGTGGAATCTT